ATTCTTGCTTCTGGTTTCAATTACTTATTCACGTATAGTTGCCATGGTAGATCATAGTTTATTCAAGGTCAAGAGATAACAAAAGAACGCAGACCAGAACAGAACCTGGCAGTTCTACTCTGGCAGTAGATTTCAGCATTCTCTGAATGTAAATGTATATTGTAAAGCTACATTAACAGAATCTTGAAGTCTGAAAGTACAAATCTCCCGCCCTCCCTATTTACCACCTGCAATATTCAATATTGCCTTGGTATCTACTTTGGACCATATTAACCTTCTATTTTGACTCACCTCTGAGTTAATAGTAACCCACCTATCAGCCATGTTATACGATCTTAAATCTGAATGAGGTTAGGGTTAGAGTTAAGGTTAGGTTATGGTTACTTGTTGCACCTATTCATGTTTTTGTTGTCAACAGAAGGCTGAAGGCCCTTTCATTGAAGGTCATGCACCATGATGCGCCACAGAGTCAAAGAGTAGTTTCTGTGGGAAGAAAATGAGGGCAGGATTATTATACAGTATATGTGTGATTTATCATCTGTAATGCATGAGATAGCAACCTGGCAATTCCCATTAGAAATGCGGTTATGGTTAAATACAGTTGTTGTTTTTTTAAACAGATTAACATGTTGCACCCAGCCTTAGAATTGATAAAGAAGATACTAAAGTGGGGGGTAGATTTTGCCTTTGAGGGTCAACTATCGGTAGTGAAGGAACCAGCACTCAAGAAATGTGAGGCAGGCGATCATTTGGTAGGGTAGCAATAAAGTTTCAGAGAAGATATTCAATTGCCCTCATGTGACAATATACATGAAGACAAGGATCCACCAGAGGAACAGACACCAGATTGAAAGAGAGCCATGGATATTCTGATAGTCGCACTTAGTAACGTCACTATTTTGTTTCTTTGTGAATCTGTTCAATATTTCCTTTTCTGGTTTGTGACTTTGGGGTTCCCTACTCAGGAAACCTCTTCCAAATTCAGGGAGACTTTTGTTTTGGTTTCCGGTAATCCAAGAAATGTTTAGCCTATGATGATGATGATGATGATTTTAAACATGTAATTATACAGAGGTTTGTATTTAAAGCTGTTGATGCCCTGAATTGAGGTTGACAAGAAATAGTAATAAACTCTAAAGAAGTCTTCTAAGAATGGATATCTTGCAGTATTGACAGGTTTCTGTCATAGTCATTCTGTCCAATAGCTATAACTCTGAATTTAAATATATGTGTATCTGAATACTTATGAAAAGGAAGGTGGACTTCATATACCATTCTAAAGATGGGTGGTATCTGTTCTGTATTTTCGTTAATAAAAATCAGCCTTCTCTGATTTGAGGCTATTCAATATTGTCTTGGTATCTAATATGGTGTCTTGGACCATATTAACCTTTTATTTTGACTCACCTCTGAGTTAATAGTAACCCACCTATCAGCCACGGTTTATGATCGATGGGCTGAATGAAAGGTACTGTATGTGGATAGACATAATTATTATCCTTACCTCCCAAAATTTGAAGATTACATTTAAAGATCAGTGATACCAAGGCCAAAGCAGCAGTGTTACTTTTGTTATCTCTTGAGAATCACCATGGGTGATTGTCAAAAAATTCATTTGGAAGTCCACTGTATCGAGCAAAATCATGAAGAGATTGGCCTAGTTGGGCATGAAAATCGCCAAATAATATGATTATGGGCTGAGTATGCAAAGTAATTATTTCTTCCCATATTATTTCTAAACCCATCCAGTAATCAGAGTTATAAGAAGAAGATGTGTTTGGGGGAATATAAACGTTTACCAGAATGAGCTCAAAATCTTTATATCTGGATATCACGGCCAGTGTATAAGGGAGTTTATTCCCATTATATAATTTCTTGCCCTGCCCTTGCAATCCATCCTTAATAAGAATGCTTAAGCCCCCAGAGGCTCACCCTTTATTTTTTAATTTAAATTTAAAATCTGGAACTTCCTTCAATGCTGCCCATGGAACCCTAAAATTAAAGATAGATAGGCAGACACACAGAGAGACAGCCAGACATAGAGATACTGAGCTTTTTGGTGTCTTCTTCTTCTTCTTCTTCTTCTTCTTCTTCTTCTTCTTCTTCTTCTTCTTCTTCTTCTTCTTCTTCTTCTTCT